GGGGCGGCGTGGGGGCAGCTGCGCTACTCGGTTCCCGAGGAGATGCCGAAGGGCTCGTTCGTGGGCGACGTGGCCAAGGACCTGGCGCTGGAGCTGCCGGCGCTCCGCCACCGCGGCGTCCACGTTTTTGACACAGGTAGGACGCAGTACTTTTTTTTGGACTTGCAGAACGGCCACTTATCTATCAAGGAGCGGGTGGACAGAGAGGAGATATGCGCTGCTGTTCCTAAATGCGTTCTAAATTTTGAGATTCTTGTAAAAAATCCCATGAATCTTTACAGAGGGGAGGTAGAAATACTGGATATTAACGATAATTCGCCGAACTTCCCGGTAAGGAACAGCGTCTTAGAGATCAGCGAGCATACTGCACCAGGCACACGTTTCCCGTTGGAGACAGCTCAAGATCCCGACACAGGAGTAAACTCTTTACAGAATTACGAGTGTAGCGAGAGCAGCTATTTCTCCTTGGACGTGAAAAACGGAGGTGACGGTATCACACATCCGGAATTAATATTGGTGAAATCTTTGGACCGAGAACAGCAGGCTGCTCATTATTTGATCCTGACAGCCACGGACAGTGGCAATCCTGTAAGATCGGGGTCGACAACAATCCAAATCGTTGTCTTAGATGGAAATGACAATGCTCCGGAATTTACGCAACCCGTTTATAAGGTGACCGTGAGAGAAGACGTGGCCGTGGGAAGTCGGGTGTTGCAGGTGAGAGCGACTGACAGAGACGAGGGACCAAACGCCGAGGTGAGGTACTCGTTCTTTAAAATCCCGGAGAAGTTCGCTAAGACTTTTAAACTGGATCCGGAAAGTGGAGAAATTGAGATAACAGAGAAGCTGAATTTCGAGGAACAGGAGTTGTACGAATTGGATGTTCAAGCCCGGGACGCAGGCGGACTCTTGTCCCACAGCAAGGTTCTCATCAAGGTCTCTGACATAAACAACCACGTCCCGGAGATTGTCATTATGTCTGTGTTCAGTCCGGTCCCAGAAGATACACCGCTGGGGACAGTCATCGCAATTTTCAACGTCGAAGATAAGGACTCGGGGGCGAACGGGGAGGTGCGGTGCAGCATCGGGGAGCGCCTGCCGTTCCGTCTGGAAAGCTCGTTTGATAATTACTACCGGGTGGTGACCGCCGAGGAGCTGGACCGGGAGGAGGTGTCGGAGTACAACGTGACGGTGCGGGCGGCGGACGGCGGGGGGGCGCCGGCGGGGGGGGGG